AGACATGCTATGGTGATGAAATTTTGATGGTAGGTAGCTCTCGTACTGGGGAAGAAGTGGCGTGAGTTTGGGCCCCCTAGCAGCTTGCTCTGGAACTGCAGGGATATATTCTTTAAATTATTCAAAAGGGGATAACTCAAGAACCGTTTGACGGATCGTCGTGATTTTTGGTATGTAGGTAGCTTACGTGATGTTTAATATAATTATGTGACAATTATGCAAATATGAATGTTATTTACATAATTTATGGGGAAATTCTATAAATCAGCTGCATTCCATGATAGGACAATTGAAGCTTGTGACATTGGTAATTGACAACGAGAGAAACACAGGAAGATATTGATTATGTTAATAATGACTTAATTTGCATAATTAATGAGAAAGTTTTATAATTATGTAATGATAACTGCCTGGAATTTCATACTTGTGGTATTTGAAAGTTTAGTTGAGGTGAACATCATTAAACAGAATGTATTCAAATCAGGACCTCATTTGCATAATTTATGAGGAAATGCTAGAATGCATTGTTTGTTAATATAAGACTGTCTTTTGGTTGAGATTATGATAAAATGATATAATTCATGAAAATTAGGTTCCTATTTCTTAAAACAGGGGGGAATAATCTAATCTATAATTTGTCAGTCATAAAGATTAACATCATTTGGCGAAGGTATGAGATCGGGGAACTCTAGTTCATTATTAATTTATCATGTATATTTTTTTATTGCTGCTGTGCAAATAATAAACAAACAAAACAAACAAACTTCCAGGGCTCGACATTCAATTTTTTTGCCTTCATAATCTTGTTTTACTTTAAGGCCTCCATAGTCTGTGTCAATGAACAGATGTATGAGAGTTATTTACCCTGTAGTATTGGTCCAGTTTGCCTGGCCATGACGCGAAAGTTCATCGCCCTTAATACCGTCGCTTTTAGCTCTACATTCATCGGACCTTAATATGAACTTTGAATGACCTCGCATGGCGATATTATGCTGACAATCTGACAAACGTTATTCAAATTCCCACCTACTGTCGTGAAGATGTAAATATAACGTTACGTCATTGCTATTGACTTTGACTTTTTACCAAACTTTTTTATATTCCCACGCCCCCATCAGTTTTGGGGTTCTCAGATGATGTCATCCATATAATCAAATCAACATGGCCTTACACACAGTGGGCAGCGGTGACGACCCAGTCTTGCGCGAGAATCACCCCTCAACAAGGCTGCTCAATAGACCCTTCCGGATCGAACACAACAAACCCCCGACATGTTCTATTTCGAACACCTGTTCTATTTCGAACACTTAGCTTGTTCTATTTCGAACACCTCCGTCCAAATAGAACAGGGGATTCGATTCTGTAGGTTTGGCGGAATCTAGTTTTGTAGTTTGATTGAATGGAGGTTTCTTTTGAAGTCAGCCACATTTGCCGAAGTTGAATACAGCTCTAGTTTCATAAGATAAGACTGTCAGTGGGTGGAGAATATGGTCAATTGATATAATTCATGCAAATGAAACTCTGATAATTTGCTTAATCACCGTGAAAAGAAAGTATAATTAATTATGGGTTCACCACACCACGAAGTTATGATTTGCATAATTTATGACGAAATGCTAGAATGGCATTCTTTGTTAATATACGATAAGACTGTCTTTTGGTGAAGACACATACAATACACATACAATTCATGGAAATGAGGATCCTACTTGCATAATCGGGGAATAATCTATGTTAATTTGTCGGTCATAAAGATTAACATCATTTGGCGAAGGTAACGTTATGAGATCGTGGAACGCTAGTTGGTTACGTATATGCAAGCTAGAGACTAATTTTTAGGTTTCATACACAACTAGAGTTCCCCGATCTCATACCTTCGCCAAAGGATGTTAAACTTTATAACTGACAAATTATAGATTATTCCCCCCTGATTTAAGAAATAGCAACCTAATTTTCGTGAATTATATCATTTTATCATAATCTCAACCAAAAGACAGTCTTTATTAACATAATCAATATCTTCCTGTGTTTCTCTCGTTGTCAATTACCAATGTCACAAGCTTCAATTGTCCTATCATGGAATACAGCTGATTTATAGAATTTCCCCATTAATTATGCAAATTACATCCATATTTGCATAATTGTCACATAATTATATTAAGCATCACGTAAGCTACCTACATACCGAAAATTACGACGATCCGTCAACTGGTTCTTGAGTTATCCCTTTTGAATATTTTCAAGAATATATCCCTGCAGTTCCAGAGCAAGCCGCTAGGGGGCCCAAACTCACGTCACTTCTTCCCCATCACAAGAGCTATCTACCATCCAAATTTCATCACCATAGCATGTCTAGATCATAAGATATCAAAACTGGAAGTTCAGCTGCAGTACCATAACAAGCCGCTAGGGGGTCCAAAATCTAATCATTTTGAGGTCTCATCAAGACCTACCCACCTACCAAGTATCAAGACAATCCATCAAGGCCTTCTCAAGTTATCGTGTTTACAGACACACACACACACACACACACACATACACGAACGCCCCTGAAAACATAACCTTCTTGGCGAAGGTAACAAGAGTTCCACGATCCCATACCGTCACCAAGTCATGTTATAACGTTTTAAACTAGAAAGGCCAATATTTGCTTTGGAGCAAATACAGCGATGGGTTCACCACATTTTACGACATGGCAGGGAAAGAATGAGAAACACAAGGGAAAACAATGATTTACATTGATATAACTATAATATGAAGTAACATACAACTAAAACAACAGTTGGATAGCTATTCCCTACTTTATTGGTTAGGATTTTTAATTGCATAATGCAAACTGTTGATTTTCAAAATATAAAAAAAACGTTCATGCCCCGCATTCCAATGCTGGAGCAGAAAAGCTTGAAATACCTACCAAAACACTTGAATAAAGACATACTGTCAGTATGGAAATGCTCTGTGCAGGTGTTAATCAAGTTAAATCCCAACAGCCAATCAGCAAGAAATGCTCTGTGCAGGTGGAAATGCTCTGTGCAGGTGTTAATCAAGTTAAATCCCAACAGCCAATCAGCAAGAAGTATAGAGGAAAGCTGCATGCCTATTGGTTGATGCCCTGCATTCCATTGTGATGACTCATGCCCAGACGTGGTAAACACGGCACACTAACACAGTAATACATTTGCTATAACACAGCCAAAAAACTCAAATAAAACCATTCTAAAAGCCTGTATCACAAAAATTTAAAAAAAGCCTAGGGGTATTTGCCCACTGTACCTCCATACCAATTGTTAATAAGTTTAATAATGTTCACCTTGACTTAACTTTCAAATACCCTAAGTATGAAATTCCAGGCAGCTACCATTGCTGAATTACAACATCTTCTCATTAATTATGCAAATCAAGTCTTCATTTACATAATCAATGTCTGTTTCACTCGTTCTCAATTACATATGCCACAAGCTTGAATATTCCTATCATGTAATGCAACTGATTTATAGAATTTCCTCATAAATTATTCAAATTACATCCATTTGCATACTTGTCACATGATTGTGTCAGGCATACCAAAAACCATGACGATCCGTTAACCGGTTCTTGAGTTATCCTCTTTTGAATAACATTAAACAAACGCCCCTGCAGTTCCAGAGCAAACTTACGTCACTTCTCCAGCACAAGAGCTACCTATCATCGAAACATCAAAACCGAAAGTTCAGCTGCAGTACCATAAGAAGCCACTAATGGCCCCAAAATCTAATCGTTTCTAGGTCTTATCATGACCTACCCATCTACCAAATATTCAGTCAATCTATTTAAGTCTTCTTTACAGACATACACACACAAGCGCGCGCGCCCCTGAAAACATAACCTTCTTGGGGAAGGTAACAATATCATACCTTGTCCATGCCAAATGATAAGTATTTCACCAGTGTGTTGCATGTTACTATTTAGGAGCCATGTGAATATTTTGCAAATAAGTTTTGCTAATGAGCAGGATTGTAAATTTCCAAGTGGTCATCACCATGCATAAGATTTAGAAAACCACTTAACATTTCATGAAGGTATGAAATGGCCGAAATCTAGTCAGTCAATGCGTTTGTAACACAATACAAGGTACGTTTCTGTTTTGGTCTGGTCTGACCTTGTTGTTTTGACAATTCTAAGCTTCTCTTGCGGTGTCCTGGCACACGCCAAGCCCACACAAGTATGTTTGTTCAGTGAATACCACCCCTTTAAGCGGTCATGTCATGGGCTAGTCCGAAGGCTAAATTTGGTGTGGTGGTGCCTAGGACACGAGGTCACACTTCACTCACATTTTTGGCACAGACCACATTGAAATAATCTATTTATGGATCTTTTTTTCTTATTCCAGCGGCATAAAAGTCCAGTGTGTGCAGAAGTGCTGACTGACAATCAAGTCAGATCTAATCAAAATTGAGCATTTTTGCTTGAATGTTCATCTGTGCTGTTAGAAGTCATGCAGAAACATGTTTCATAATTTCTAACACAAAAAACGGACCTACCCAAAATTGCCCCTGTGCAACCCGTCTTTGTCAAGGAAAGAGCAATCCACCGCTTGTGACGTCACATCTTTGCAGAGTTTCTGGTGCCCCAGACGAGGTTTCCTTTTACTTCAAGTTTTACAACCAGACTTTTTGTAAGAGGACATAAAGGAGCCATTTACATCAGATTATTACCACAATTCCTCACAAAGCAGTAAGTTAGTTGTTCCTGGACCAAGACTGGAGTTGAACAGTTGAAACTTCGGTTAAGTCTGAATTTTGCTGTTGGAAATCACATCGAAACGTTATCACATCCTTGATGGTGCATGCCGTATTTCAATTTTTCTTTTCAAATAAAAAAGAGAACAACTCAAATCGGTGCGGCATAGCAGGATGATACAAATTGTCATACAAAACTTTCTTCTCACTTCTGGCCATTTGTGCTGCAGAAGCCTGTCTTTTGGATCATTTCTCACCACAGTCCTGAAACATCAAAACTTCTTCATTCAAAGACGACCTGGCTTTTATTGAACATGTCAAATTACACAATACAAATACCCTCCAGTTATACATCATCTCACAATCCAGTCCTCCAGTAAAATTGGCTTTTTCATAAATAAGGTCATTTCTTCAAAACACTGATGAAAAAAATCATCACTGATTACAGACATATTTCCATGCTTTGTATTTTCTTTTTTAAATACACGTTATTAATGATAATAAGAAGTCAAAGGTGAACAAAAGAGGAATGGTGCATACATCTTCAAAACACAAAGATGTTCGTTAAACAGGACTTTCCACAGGCACATATACAAAATATCCTACATGCGACATATACAATAGATCTGCAAGAATCCATATTCTTTTACGACTCTACTTAAGCCGGTAGTATACATCCATTAGGAATTAGAGTAGTAATGTAATCACAGAAAAGGGAGATTTTTCATGCTATCTACTGCTATTAGGTGCACAAATTGAATCCTCAGGAATGAATAGACCACAAGCCAAATACACTCTAGACAGTATATACCAAATTCTTGAGATTGGTGTGGAAATTGGTGTTTTCCTTGCTGATTAATTATCTTTTTCTGCCTTTCATACACAGAGCATTGTCTACTGGAATGGCAGTTCATGGTACAAGCAAAGTAAAAAGGACATTTTTGATTAGCTTGAGTGGAAAAAAAACTTATTCTGTACACCAGACACATGCACGGACTGTAGCATTGCCACAGACACGAGTTGTAGCTTACTCACACTCGCTTGGGAAACCATGGGTTCACACACAGTTGTGGAGAGAAGTTACACAATAAATAGTTCAAGTTCCTTCCTCTGAAGCAGTGCAGTTGTTAAGTGCAAAAATCTCCACAGTAACAAGGACAACCCCTTTGTCCTCGATCTAAATCCATTAGAGTTCAGTAAAAGCTATATGTATAGTAATTAAATCAGGGCACAGGAACTAACGTTAATGGATTTTTCTCTCTTGGCATGGCAATGCATTACTTTACACCTTTGTACTGGATACAATAGTCTCCATCATATTGGCATCAGATGCACATTTTGATGCAATTCAGCTAAATACAAATTTTCTCCTGCCATTTCTATTACACATTCCAATGGGCACATCCTGCAAGTCTGGAAAAAGCTTCTTATAACCTAGCCTTGGTCCCAAACGAAATCAAAGTCCTTACAACACGCATCTGACACTCAGGGGGAGGGGAGGGAGACACTTTTCGAGTCTTGCACACTTGCGCGCTACATACATGCTAACGACAACAGATAAGGACAGGTCCCTCTCTACTATGCTACGGTCTCAAGGACTTGTTTGGCTGGCTTTCCACCAAGAAAGTTGTGATTTGGCCAACTCTAGAGGCTCTCAACAGATTCTTGGCGAATATGGAAATCTCAAGGCAGGGATTTGAACAGGAGGGGTAGCGTGTTGACTCCCTAGTTCCAGATTTTGAGGAAGCTGTCCCAGGAACCAGTTGCTACTGCCATTCCATCATCTGTCACACCCAAGCAGCTCACACGGTTATCGTGCCCAGCCAGAACACCTGTTGGGACAAAACACAAATATTTACTGTCCACTAATGTTAAAGTCAGGAATAGTTTGAATCTTACTTAGGCATGCAGGGTAGACTTATGCAACCTACATGTATGTGGCATCTAAAGGTTTACACACTGTGTACATGTACTTCACTTTGATTTCTAGAGGACTTGATGCAGCACTTCATTAAGTAGTAGGTTTGAGTTTTGAAAAGGGAATTGCAAACAACATTGTATATGTGAGAACAAATGCATATAATGACTGCTAACTCATGCTGAGATGGTAGAAGTAAGGCCATGAAATGATGTTGGTTGCTGACACCTCAGCTACAACAAATTATCATACAGCTTACTATGTGAATGATGCCTATGTAATTATATGATCCAGCACAACTTGTACAACATGTACATGTGCATGTAAAACGACAAGGAAAGTTCTGGTGTCTCATGCTGTACTACATGTCTGCCCAGCAGCACAACAATTAAGTCATTTCTTATCCATTAGCCCAATATGAACATGCAATCAAATTAATACATAAAGTTGACACTACTGACCCGATTGCTGTAAATAATGGTTAGAATGGATAGAATCTGCCCGAAACATTATTTTCATAATTTTGCTTCCATGTGATAAAAACAGTAACAGCAGTTATTACAGGAAGAACTAAGGCCTAAGGTAAAAGAGTTTGTGTGACCTCAGAAAATGACTTGAAAAACATTTTCTCTACGGATACTCGCATTTCACTTCAGGCACCAAGCTAATATCACACAACACACACAGCTTTAGAAAACATGGAAGTCAACAGAGAAAGAACCTTTATATGCCAGATTTCATTATCATCTTCAAATCTGTATCTATCATAAGTCATATCTATGGTCATGCAATGTTACAAAAAGCATGTAAGTGTTTGAAATCTGATGGTGTGTGTCAAAACCTGTGCATACACAGACGTCATCCACAGCATCAAGATAGTGTGGCCTCAACTTTGGAAACTGATGTTTTGAAACAAATTTTTCTTCAAAGATACTCGCATTTCACTTGGGCACACAGCTCATCATCATCATCATCATCATCATCATCATCATCATCATCATCATTAAACGACAGAGGCTCTTCCAATTCTTCCAGAAGGTGCAGTAGAATAAAATCAATCAGAACATCACATCAGCAGCAGAGTTAAACAATAACTTCATTAATCTTCAAAAATTTCTTTCCTGTGTTACTCAGTTTACAAAAGTTTTAGTTTGGTGTCTTACTTATAACTGTATAACTGTAACTAACTAATTTTCACTCTCAGTTACTAACCAGTTGTCAGTTTACATGTCACTTACCTTGAATGCTGTTGAACAAATCATTCTATCATTTTGTACAAATAGTATATTTGCAGAAGGCTTTAGTAAATTAAAGGTAAACTAGAAAGGCCGACATTTGCTTGGGAGCAAATGCAGCAGATGGCTTCACCACATCCCCCATACCGAAAATGGATCTATCCCACGATGGCTGCCAATAGTCTATACCCCCATGCAGCAATGGAATCTTCCAATGCCGGAAATAGCCAAAAAGCCCTATTTTACACAATTTTAAAGTGGTGTATGTCAAAAGCGTGAATGACAATCTTTGGACATGTGTCCAAGGTATCCCCATACCGAATTTCAGGTCATTCGGATTTAATATTAGGGCACAGGAGCCAAAAATGTACATTTTTGGTCCAAAAATAGCCAAAAAGCCCTATTTTTCACAATTTTAAAGTGGTGTATGTTGAAAGCTTGAATTAGGTTTTGCAGACATATGTCCAACGTATCCCCATACCAAATTTCAGGTCATTTGGTTTTAGTACCAGGGCTCCAGATCCCAAAATGTATATTTTTTGCCTGAAAATGGCCAAAAAAACCCAAATGAAACAATTTTTCAAAAAAATGAAAAAAACGTCTGGGGGTATTGGCCCACTCTACGTCCATGCCAAATTTCAGGTCATTTGGCTGAAAAACGGCTGAGTTGAATCCCTTTAAAGAAATGGCAGGAGGAGAAGAAGAAGAAACATGAGGGAACACAATATGTCTTCACCACTTTGTGGTGAAGCCATAAATATGAAGTATGTAATCATGCTAGTTAAGCACTGTTGGCTGCTCATGGTGATATTTTTCGCTATATTCTGAACCAGCTGCTATGTTCACTGTGAAATCACCAATGGGAAAGCTAACATTGAACTGATTACCCAGCAGCAGGAATCAAGAGCTGGGGGTAAATTCTTGGTACAGTCTGATATTAGGTACCATCAGAAGGGTGTACATGTTTGTGTGCTGTTATTGTTGAGTTATACCTTTTTCTTGCAGATGATGAGAAAATGTTGTTTTTTGGTGTCTTAAGCACTTAAACCTTGTTCATGTGAATATGACCTACCATAAGGGATAATTAACCAAAAGCAATTTCCACACAACTGCAATAGTTCTTTGTTTTTTGTTCTATGTACAAATTTTCATTATCAAAAGCAGAGATGTCATAAGCAGGGAATTCAACTTGCCTGCAGCAGCAATATCTTGTGTAGCAAATATTTCATAAGAGGATGTTTCATCTGTCCCTAAAATCAGTCCGGCGGGCTGTCAGGAAACGGTCTTTCACCAATTTATATAAAACTCCTGGAGTTGTGTAAGGGTTTGTGTGGGCATCATGTGGAAGTCTGTTGACTAACCTGCACGTTCTCCCTTCATGGAGTCCCACACATTGCAGTTGAAGTCATCATAGCCAGCCAGCAGCAACCGGCCGCTCTTGGAGAAGGCCACAGAGGTGATTCCACAGATGATGTTGTCGTGTGAGTACAGCATCAACTCCTGGTCTGCTCTGATGTCGAACAGGCGGCAAGTTGCGTCATCCGAGCCAGTAGCAAAAGCATTGCCATTTGGAAAGAACTGAAACGGTCAAGTTTGTGTTACTTCATGTCATAAACCTCGAAATCAAATCATTCAATGACACTGTCACTAACACAGGAATGTGCCAATATGGGGCTCCCAACTGACTTTTGTGACTGAGAGCACCAGTGCTCCCAACCTCCAAAAATTAGGCATGCGAGTAAAGATATAGAAGCACAACAAGCAAAATACTGCTGGAGCATGAATGTAGTGTGTTTTAAGTTTACTGTGTGCATTGTCACAGGCCCCAATCTCTGTAAATCCCTCCAAACACACACACACACCCATCACCCGTGACATGGACAATAATGCATGAAATTTTCGGCTCTTCTAAAAAAAAATTTCAACCACACTGTAAATCATACCAAGCAACTGCAAAATGAGGAAATATATGCCATAAATTGCAAAGAAAAATATTGGAATACAATACTTATGTCGTAAAATGCCAAAATCACTTCCACAGGAATAGAAGAAAATATTAAGAAATAGAAATAGGGAGTCAATTATTTGCCATACCATAGTCTGTATCCTTAGTCATGTGTTCAACCTTCATGACCACATAGAATTTATAATGAAGCCAACTTTTTTGCAAAACTTTTTTTTATCCGCACACGTAAGTGTTGGGGTTCCCAGAGGATGTCATCCATTTAATCAAATCAACGTGGCCTCATATCAGCCTATGGCTTTGTTCTGCAACCTATTACTTAAACACAGGCCTAGATTTCTGCTGAATTTTTGAGACAGACCCGTGCAATCATGACTGAATTCAAGTCATATAGCCTTATTTCCATCTACAGTTAGGATCCCTGCATTATCACAATGTGAACATCTGTAAGTTGACCCTACTCACAGTGACGGCATTGATGTCCGACTCATGGCCAGTAAAAGTCTGCTTGCACATTCCATCTCGGATATCCCACAATTTTGCGCTGGCATCGCAGGCTCCCGACACAAACGTCCTGTGGTCCTCTGAAAGTGATAGGCTCATAACATCGCCTGTGTGGCCTGTGAATGATGTCATCTGTTGTCCAGTCTCTATGTCCCACAGGGCACTGCAGAAACAAACATTCATGCTCAAACATGGCAGGTAGGGAAGGCAATACCACATGTGTAGCAATGATGCCTTGGTTTTCATATATTGTCCCTACTATACTTTCCACTACCTGTAAAACATAAATTTGACGTAATGCAAGCAAAATTTATTGAGGTGTGGTTGATTGATTGATTGATTACTTGACCAGATGGTGATTACCCCCAGCACTTGTACAAATCAGGTGCATTAAGAGAATCACAGAGAAAGGACAGACATGACAATTAGCTGATCGCATCATTACCAACAAAAGGCTTTCTTAACAAGAATTGCAAAACATTTTTTTATGTATTTCACTGGTATAGATTAGCTTAATTACCAACAAAAGGCTTTCTTAACAAGAATTGCAAAACATTTTTTTATGTATTTCACTGGTATAGATTAGCTTACGTTTCTGGTTTGTGTGTTATTTATTCTGAGGCTAGCGGTAGAAATCCTTTTTTTCAATATTCTGCAATATTGCAGATGAGTCTAAATTTTGTTCTACAATTTGGACACTTTCTGCAAATACACAAGCCTCCATACTACAGCCTTCTCAATTTGATATGAAATTGCAGATTGTAGTATTTTTCTACTGCAATTGCAGAATGCAAACCTATGATACTATGATAACCTAATAAGCTACAGAAAATTATGGCAGGACCTGGCTCTATCTGCATCCCTAATCCTTTAGTTCCAGAGATAGTAGCTTACAAGAATACCAGGCCCTTCTTGTTTGTGATTTAGGTTATGTCTTGTTCAGCATATAAAACATCCTTCCCTTGTATCTTTGGGAAATCATGGCTGAAGCTTATTTGACACAAGTCTTACCAGGTCATGTCTCCAGAGCTTGTGACAATCTGGTTATCATCAAGAAAGCGACAGCATGAAAGATAACCTGTAGAGAAACAAGAAATGCTTTTAAAAAAAGCTGGCTGGGGGCCAACATGGGAATAGTGACAAGAGAACTAGAAACACATTTTACACTGCCTCACTTATCCAAAGTGACTCAGTCAGTGCCACTTTACATTGCACAAAGAGTCATGCTGTCCAAATAAATGGCAAACTGGCCAGTGCCATCAAGATTTCTCACTAGTTATTGTCAAAATACGTTTTCTACCACACCCCTGAAACAATGTGGGTTGGTATATACAGACATTGGGCCATGTGAAGTCCCAAATACTGTCAGCTGGCTTAGGCGATTGAAAAATCAAGACCGACAAAAGCCGTCATTACGGTCAACTGGCCTGCTTATTGAGAATGTCGGTAGGGCAAGTTACACAACTTGTGTGCAATTAATAATGACAGGGATAGAAATCTTTTTTTTTTACCTGACAAATTTTACATGCAATTACAAAATGGACATGCAAAATTACATCAAATTTTTCATGCAACATTTTCAAATTGCATGTAATATTTTTTGTTTCTCTGGCATAGGACCAGCTGTAACCAGCTGGGCTGATGAAATGGGCGGGGCATGTTGTTTTAGGACATACCAAACCCAGGTGTGGAAAACTTTCCCATTCAACTTAGGGGTCAAAATGTGACATTGGAGAAATAAAATTACAGACTAGAAAGACCATATTTGTGAGCAAATACAGCAAATTTCAAATATATCAAATTTCAAACATATCAAATTTCAAATATACCAAAGTCCAGACCATTGGGTTCTATACAATGACACAGGAACCCAAACTTAACGTTTTTGGTATGAAAATAGCCAAGAAGGTTCATACCAGTGTGTCCAGGAAGTTCTCTGCTAACGCGCACATTGCCCTCCCGTGTCTTCAAACTGTAGATGGAGCAAATATTATCCAGCCCTCCACAGGCCACATAGCTTCCTGATGGTGCATAGGCACAAGTCATCACCCAGCTTGACCGCAGCGGGATGGCATGGACCTGACAGGGTACAGACAGAAACTCACACATGAATATATTTCATCCATGCAATATGAGTGCAATATAATAAAAACCTGGGAGACAGTATGACCAGACATTCTTTGTGGATGAGTGTCAATCTACAAAAAAATATCAAAGCCCAAGATGATGTGAAATGTGTTAATAACAAACATTACCTTATTAGTTGTGTAGGAGTCCCAGACAATTAGTTTACCATCCTGTGAAGCAGATACAAGATTTCTGGAAGGCAGAAAGGATAACATTAATGTCAGTTGGAAAAAAACTAATTTTGAATACATTACATGACATGGCTTGACTTGACATGGCAATGCATAACAGTGTTTTGTTAGAGCAAATCTATCTGTACATACATACTATATCACATGCTAAATGGATACTTGCTGAACATTTATCCACATACATATGGAGATACCATCTGCACTTAGTAACTGTATACATCCGAAAGTTATCTTGATATTTGCCTGTACTCATTGGTAGTTTGGGACTCTGGATCTGTCTAAATTGTGCTGTCTGGAACTTCTGCAATTCTGGTGACAAACATTTTGACTTTTGATGACAAGTTTTTTTGATAAATATTTGCTGTGCTGTGAGAAACAGTCCTAACCCCGTCCCTGATACATCAGTATCACATCAAGGAAACCAGATTTACCTGAATATCTAGTTACATGAATATCCTTTTCTTGGGAATGACATGCTTCACCCAAACAGCAATGCCATGACATATATCTGTATTTTGTTACAAAAAGGAATCAGAACGTTTCCATCAACCTTTCAATGAGAGGGTTTTCAAAAATATCTGAGATATGCATTTGTTTGCCACTTTCTAAACAAATAAAAGAGGATTCCTACCGAGAGTCTGAGCCCCAATGCATGGCATAAATTTTTGCCAAGTGGCCTCTGAGAGTTCGCCGTGTCCTCATTTGAATACGGCCTACTGCCTCCATGTTGGCCGTCACCTGCAATGAAATAAAAACTTCTGTTAATATCACATGTGGGTAGTAAGATCTGTGTCCTCTGTAACAGAGTAACTTTTGCTCAGGTTGCCCACTGCGGAACCTAAGCCAAAAGCTAGGTTGTCCATCAATATTTTGGCTTGCCGTTTAAGGGCCGATTTATACAGGGGAAAAAATGCGAAAATCGACATGGGCCAAATGAAATGTTTGCCCCGTGCAAATCTGCCCTAAGGCACATGCCGTACGCGAGGTCACCTACAAAAGTATCACTCACATACTGACAGAGGAGGGACACAGCTCTGCCTTCCAAAACAATACTTCCATAGCTGAACAAGAAATCTGAGATTCCAAACCTCTGTAATGTATAATGATCACAGCGGCTGCTGGCATTTCAAACATCACATTATAACAGCAATGTTGTAATATTTTGGAATTATTTTTGAAAATTTTGGAATTATTTACACATGATAATAAATATTCATATATTCATAAATATTCATATAACAGCCCCCCCCCAAAAAAACATGAGCGCATGTGTAACATTTATAGAAATTGTTCTGATAATTTGTGGTATCAAAATCAGTACTAAGATTTGGCACGTTTAAAGGGTTCTTTTATCAGGGATGGGTTTCCTTCGGGTGAAAATCTGGGCGTGAAAAACATGCGAGTGAATATTTGTACGTGAAAAGTTATAGTGCTATGAATATGACAGAAAATATGCCGTACCAAATTCTACGACAGAAAATTGTTAACCTGTCATATGATTTTCCATTAAACCTGAATTTTTTTAAATTCATAATTCTTAGGTCCCTTGGGAACATGTTAATTTGCACATCTTACATGAAACCAAAACATTGAAAATCACTTGAACTTATCAGAAATACATGGAAAAATGGGGGTTTTGTATTCTAAAATGTAAAACCTTTAGGACTGTCTCCTTTCTATAACTTAGTATAAGCTTGATATCATATTTCTTAAGCAGGTTCTTTTAAAAACAAATTTTAACTTTCTTTTTGCGCATGAAAACTTAAGCTTTGAAAATTTCCAGGAGTCCTAAAAATTACTGCATAATAAACAAAACAAGGCCATGTACTCTAGAATTTGCATATTTTGCTGCATATTTTTTATCTGTCAATCACACAGGTTCAGCAGCAACAATAGGTTCTCTTGACCTGGAAATGTGCTGTACTTCTCCCCGGTAAAATCAATGGCAGAAGAACATGTAGAAATGTACAATATGTTAAATACACAATATGCAGTACACATTTTCGGTAATCTGTGAAAGCCATAGGAATAAGATTAATTAGAAATGCTGTACTTTTATTTTTATCTTTACCATATTTTCATTTATGCATTACACATTTCCCTTGAAAAACATGGCAATTGTTTAAAAGTCTACTCCTGTATCTATTTCAACACAATCAGGAGTGGTACCCCACATTGTCTTTGTGGGCAGGTCTTGGGAAGACAAAGGTCCAGGTTAAATACGGGTATCCAGGGGCCTGACCATGGTGCTACAGCAGAAGCCACCATGATTGAACCACTACACCACATCTCAGGCCACACCAATTTAATTTCTTGGTTAACGGATTTGCACGCTTCATTTCTTTCTGATTTGCAAATAAAAATAAAAATTCAGAATCAGCTGCCAAATGCTCATATTTTGACCTGAACAGTAGAAAACAGTCCTTTTCATCCTGGTTGTTACAGTTATTCCATCTTTCAGTGCAATCATTAAAAGTTCAAAATTCATTGTTTAAATTTTGAACCAGCCTGGTGTGTTGACTTCATGGCTCCTATCGTACCATTTTGGGCCATAATAGGATGCCTAGGCCTGTTTTTATTTTAATTTTTTTTTCGCCTGCCCGCTCCATATTTTTCTTGAAAAATCCGTTAACCAAGAAATTAAATTGGTTTGGCCTCATTGGGATCTTTCTAGAACAATGTGTTTGATCTGACCTGTATCAACGTGGTGTCCTGACATGCCTTGCGAGCGTCCCTGATGTGGTTCTTGAGGGCCTCACATTCTTGCCTTAGCTGCTCCAGCTCCGCACTCATCATGGACACTGGACCAAAACCCACAAAATACTGCAAAAGGTCTTGCTCCTGAAACAAGACAATATTGTTAATGTTTATTCTTCCTCAACAGAGGTGAAGGCTGAAGCTTGATCCTTTTTCAAGTATCAATGCGGCTTAGCAATCTAGAGATATTTGAGATGTTCACCATGACCTCCATGCAGGTGATTTGCTAGTTGCCATCTTCCAGATACTGTAAATCACAATGTTTTCCCAGTACTTTTATATTGGCGATTCTATTTTCCTTAGACCACAAACATTTACAGTAGGACTCAGACCACTGCACACCCTTCTCTTTTTTAGGCCCTGTTTACACGTGCGTCATTTATATGTGTCGGGCGTCGAACGGCGCCAGTTTTCTGTGGCAAAACCGCTGCGCGGAGGTAGCGGAGGTTGTTTACACGCTAAAAAAATCTGTTGCACAAAACGCGCAGTGCGGCGCCGCGCGCACCGACCACATATAAACGACGCACGTGTAAACAGGACCTAAAAATTGTCTCCCCAAACAAAGGACCCGGTCCATTTAATGTCCTAGCCAAGAGACATCCCTAACTAGTGCTGTGTACCAGTTCACTGGACTTGGATCAGGACTTTTAAGAATGTTTAAGTTCAAGTACAAAAAAACTTAAAAGTCAAGAACCGAGTCCGGACTTAATACCATAAACGACCATTTCACATACCCCTTTTCTTTCCAAACCACATAAAACCTTCCGTAGATTTCAAAAACTTTGCTGCAAAATGAAGAAAACATTGCCATCAGGCATCGTCAAGTATCGGCCTCCATGTTATGTGGCCTAAGTTTCACCCAGACAACACTGCAAGGTTGCCAACATGCAATTTTGTATGTGCCATGGCTTTAGGTCCGGAACTGAACCTAAGCCTCTGGACTTGAATCCGGACCTGACCCTAAAATTGGGTTTAGGTATGCAGCACTATCCCTAACCAGGGCTAGATACTCATATTCACCTAAGTGAATTGAGGAAAACCATGTTAAGGAGACTACATCTGGGCATGTTGGAGGATTTGAACCAAGGACCTATAATGTATGATGTTCTAGGTCACATACAGGACCATGATGCCACTCACCTATATTGACTTCTAAATAACATCAGAGACTGCATACCTTAATGTGCCGAGAGCTTTATTTTGTTATCTCATTGATTTTGGTCATTGTATGGGTAGAAGTTTTATCTTTAGGCAGATTTCCATTTAATCACTAATTATGCAAATAATACTCATTTACAAAATCTATGCACAACAATGTTCATTTTTAAGTTATGTGATGTTACATGAATAAATTTCTCATCCTTTGCCACTGACCGATCATATGGTGTTTAAATCGTAGTGTTTTTGTATTTACTATGCAAATCATGTCCTTATTTGCATAATCGTTATCATCAGTCAATACATTTGTATTATCCTGCCAGATAACATGTTAATGTGAGTGACATCATGTATTGAAGTCCTAATGTGTAGAATACTGGAATCAGAGAATCTCATACATTATGCAACTGAGCAGCCTTCTCAAAAAAATTTAGAGTAGGTGGCTGATAAGAAAAAGTAGCAGGCGAGCCACAAAGTGGCTCAAAACGAGCCGCGCAGCGGGAGGGTACGGGAGGGGGTTGCCCCTCTCCCGTTGGGGAGGTCCGGGGGCCTCCCCCGGAGGAAATCGTAAAAATTAGACCCCTAAACATCGTTTTTGGTACATTCTGAGCATCTTTTTTGGCAATCTTATGGCTCCAAAATTTACTGTTCGTGCACGGGAAAAGGCTGTATTAAAATTGTTTGCCACTCGTGGCCACACGATTTTGCCGATCGTACTATTACGCGCGGTCCTTGCGCCCGGCCACAACAATACAGAAAAATAAAGAAAGCATATTTAGATGTCAATTTGATCGAAAACATAATCATTGGGATGTGAAAAAATGTCACAGGTTCGCTTTTTGGAAGTTTTGTTTTTGTTTTGACGGTTTAATTCTAGTGGGGTGCGGTCCGAAAATGCCCAATGGAAATTCACCCCGGGTCCCGGTACACTGACTTCCGGGTTCCTTGAACAAGAATATTGCGAGAAGAGGGCTAAAAATCGGCGTAGAGAAATATATATCTTCCCGAAAATTCTTTATTTATGCATTCTTTAATAAGGCCACACCAATTTAATTTGTTGGTTCTCGGATTCGCCTCTTCGTTTTTTCTGATTTGCAAAAAAAAAATTGATTCTGGTCCTGAATCAACTGAAAAATGCCCATGTTTTGCCCCCCAACAGTTGAGGAAAGTCCTTTTCTTCCTAGTTGTTACAGTTTTCCCATCTATCATTGCAGTGGTTTGATTAAAAGTTAAAAATTCAATGTTTAAATTTTAACCCAGCCTTTTGTGTTGACTTCATGGCTCATTTTGTTGCATTTAAGCCTATAATAGGATGCCTAGACCTGTTTTTATTTTTATTTTTTTTCGCCCTGTCGCTTCATATTTTTTCTGAAAAAATCCGAGAACCAACAAATTAAATTGGTGTGGCCTAACAAAACGTAGAAAGCAGCGTAAATGTGTCACCGACGAAGAAAAATATTCCCGCGCTGCGTGCTGCTAGCAGCTAGCTACATCGCTTATCCAATCAGAACGCAGGTCATGTGAGGTGAACCAATCAGAGCGTAGATCGCGCGGTGCTACTTACTTATTCATGACAAGATGGCGCCTGAAAGCTCCTGTTTTTGTACAGCGATGCGGAGTGTGCGTTTTTTATTCCGGGGTTTTCTTAGTTTTGATGCTGATTTCTGGCTCGCCGTGATTACGCTACAACTGACACACTAGTGGAGACAACAGATGAGTGATCATTTTACGATCGACAAGAACTTTTGATGAATGAAACAGCTGTGAAATATCGCTGAAGGCGATTTGTTTTTGAAAATTTGTCTCTGTGTATGAAAGATATGAACACGCTTCTGTACATGTCTTGATATTTTTTGACGTGATTTGTACTAGTTATTTGTACTAGGAATGTTACTAGTGCCGGGAGAAGTTGGGAAGGTTGCGGCTTGATAAATTTTCGTGAGCAATGAGTTTACGAAGCAAGTTCCGCCTAGCTCGAGCGATACAGCTCCGCGGATACAACTTGAGCCCCGAACAAGACCCCCCCCGTAAAGTTTCGGCCGCGCGGGCCGCTCGTAGAAGCAAACGCTGACTCATGCACTAGAAATCTGCACATCTGCAAAGTTTTCAGATCCAGAAAGCTAGCAGAAATTTGTCTGAAGTTCGTTGTTTTTCTGAAAATTTACCAAAGGTCAAAGGTCAATGACCTGCAACTTTTGTAAAACAGAGACATTCAGGGTAACCATTTGGCTATTATAGCGTAGGGCTCATATGTTTTATACAAGTCTCTCAACCAGCGTAGGGGTGTTTCTTTTTTTGGGGAGAACCTTGTGACCCTTCTTTTTTTTTTACTCCGTGAAGGAGGTCAGGACCTCCGGACGGAGTGTTGTGATCGGCTGATTTTTCATGTTCGCAGTCAAAACACTGGGTTCTCTTTGTGTAATCGGCACGCAATTTTATACGCCGTCTGCGGGCATGCCCGTGTTGATGCACGAATGTGTATTTTTGCCGTTGCTGCTTTCGCGGTCAATGTAATATTGCAGACGCACCCCTACAATTACGAGGCGAATTGGAATGGTCCAGAAAAACGCGTTGTTTGGAATAGCAGTGGGGGGGGGTGGAACTTCATGCAGATACGGGCTGGTTTTGATAAGTGGTTCCAGATGTTTTTGCCCATGGTTAAGAGATGGCAAGTTTTTTGGGAGATGTTCGCAGCCAAAACGCATTCTTCCGTAAGTCGCATTTCTGTGTAATTTCGCATGTGGTGTGGCATTATGTCCGTGATGATGCACGTCTTTTTATTTTTACCGTAGCTGTTTTGATATTGGAGTAAATGCTTATTTTCGAAACATCCCTATGTCGTTAAAAATGTTTTCGTCCGTTTATGTGACCGGTATAGTTGTAAGTCGCGATCAGGCTGATGGGGACGGAAATGTGGGGTGGTCAGTGGTCAGCATTACGAAATGTAAATACCGATGACGTAATCCTATCGATTTCGAACTGGTCGGCTGTGGCGACCTAGTGGCGGCGTGTATTTAGTCACGTAGCAACTGGCCGGTCGTCCTAGCAACGAGCATGCTAGCTGGTTCTCTATACACATGGCCAATATTTTTGGGTTGGGCCGCTCCATAGTGTTAGTGGAGCAGCTCTTTGTAAACATGGACAATCTTTTTGAGCAACCCATCAATGTGTTCTGCCTCGTGGTCGGATGTGGTCTGGGGCTGGTAAACTAGTAGATCGGGTAATTTTATGATTTGCTAGTTGTAAAGGCGTCTTGTAGTATGAGCCGGTATATGAAGAAATAGCCTGTGTTACACAATCATGCTTTCGGCCGGATTGATGTGCAACTGTTACTAATTGCAGGGACTGCGCTAATGCCGACCAGTCGCGCTGTCCTGATACACCGCGAATGTGCGAGTGTTCCCTGTAGACAGTCCCGGGAGTCATTTTTTTCGCACATTCCAGGAGCCAAACCAAAATACGTTCATGAACCGAGTCCAAAAAACCGAAACGTGAAAATCGGATGATCGGACCTGATGTACATTTCTCTTTCTGTAGATTGTACACACAATACACACATCTTTAGATAATCTGGCCATGGCAGGTAAAAAAAAGTAACCCTGAATCATACTAGATTAGCGTAAATGCATGTTTATGCGTTCAAAACAAGAAAAGAAATTGTTTCCTGGTATTAATCTCTTGAAACACGGCGCTGAATATTGACGCAAAAATATTTCGGGCATCGCGTGCCCTTCCCCGTTGTTTAGACTGTATGCAAATCCCGCCTCACGTGTCGGCATTTCGCATCTCTGATTGGTTGTTGCGTCTTAAGATGACTGAGCCGACGCGCGTTTAAACAATTTTTCTTTGTTCGATTTATCACACTTCACAGAGAATTGTCGCCAATGGCAACTTCTTTTTGTTGCAATATATAATACTTAACGGAG